TTTATTAAGACAATATCCATAGATATTGGCACAGATCTTAGAAATCTTTGTCATTATTGAAAGTTATAGTCTAATTTTCCTCTTGTTACCTTTAATTATTTTAGTCTCTCCCAACCCTATATCATTAGGGTGAATTAAAGTGAAAACCCATTTATCAATTCACCATAACAATATTATAATTTAATAATAAATAAAGTATTATTTTACTAAAAAAACTAATTTTTTTTAAAAAAATAGATATTTTATTTTTAATTTATAATATTAAAAATTTAAATTATACAAGCAGATTATTCTAGATTTAATAAATATATATTTTAAATTATGGATTAATGCAAAAAGTTTTGTATCTTAATATAAAAATCAATAATTACTTCTAATAAAAATTATTTAAATTATAACTAATTTTTATAATTTTTTTATATTAAAGAAAAAATGATTTAAATTAACTTTTTATACTATTTTAACTATTTTATTATATTTTAATTCAATAATAAATAAAGTATTACTTTACTAAAAAAAACTAAAATAAAATTATTTTTTTAAAATAAAGATATTTTAAATATTATTGTTATTAATTTGCAATATTAGAACTTTAAATTATACAAGTAAATAGTTCTAGATTTAAAAAATATATATTTTAAATTTTATAAAATTAAATTAATAGTTATAAAGATATTAAGATTTAAAGTTGAGTAATTAAATTATTTATTATATAATTTTTATATTAATTTAATCAAATCTTATATAGTAAATTTAAAAAATAATAATTAAACAAAGTTATTATTAGTAAAAAAATTTTTTATAAAAGATATATAATAAAATTTTTACATTTAAATAAATTCAAATATCTAATAACTTAATTAAATAAGACAGAATTAAAAGTTTATTTTGAAAAAATAATTTATTAATATTTATCTGAGATACAAATTTTTTTATATCAATCCATATATAAAAATTAAATTAGTAGTTATAAAGATATTAAGATTCAAAGTTTAGTAATTAAATTATTTATTATATTAATTTTAATCAAATTTATATAGTAAAATTTAAGAAATAGTAATTTAAAAAGTTTATTATTTGTAAAAAATTTTTTATAAAAGATATATAATAAAAATTTTATATTTATATAAATTCTAATATTTAATAACTTAATTAAATAAAACAGAATTAAAAATTTTATTTTGAAAAAATAATCTATTAATATTTATCTAATGTATTAATCTTTTTATAACAGACTATATAAAATTTATTTGATTGAAAAAACTAATTATTTAAATATTTTTATAAATAAAAGTATGTAATATATTATATCATTTACAAAAACAAAAAAGATATTAATAAATAATTAATTTATATCTTATATTATAAAATATAATTCAGTTAATAAATTGTAATTTATATAATAATATATAACTTATAACAAAAAAAATTATATTGCAAATATAATATATACAGATCTTTTATAGTTATATTTTCTTTATAATCTTTTTTTTAAGTTTTTATTTATTAATTAATTATAATTAAAAAGCACTTTCTATTATTATATCTCTCTATAACTATTTAATTTTACTTGTACAAATATAATAACTATAGAAAAATCTAATTATATATTTTTTCTTTATTATTTATTATTACCAATTCTTTTAAATCTTTTATTTTTAATACTTTTTCTTTCTTTTTATATTATATACTTTTTATATTATCTTTTTTTAATTTTATAATATTTTAGATTTTATTATTATAATAATAGATATAAATTTAGATATTTTTTAATTTATATTTATCTATCTCTTAAATCATTTCTTTTATCATTTATTCTGAATTCTGAATAAATAAATATTTATAGCTATATTATTATAAATATATTATTTTAATAAAATAATATTTATTATATAATCTAATAAAAGTTTATTTATTGTATCAAAGATAATATTTTTTCCATTAAGTTATATTATTAAATTTATATTAAATAATAACTTTATCTTTATATTTGTTTTTTTATTATTTAAATAAATAATTGTATATTTACTTTGTACTTAATAAAAGTACCTTGATAATACTCTAATATTTTTAATAATAGATTAGTAAATTTACTTATCAATGCTGTATTTTGTTCTTTTGAATATATTTTATTATTATTTTAAATTATATTTATCAATTACACAGTGACTCTCGTTATAACGGACGGGTTCGGGGAATTAGAGAAAAATTTTAAAAATCCTCTATATCGTGAGTTTCATTAGTAAATCCGTTATAACGAGATTTTAATTATGTGTACTCACTTTTTCAAAACTTTAAAACAAAAATTTTTTATTTTATATACTTATTTTTATATATTTAATATTATAATTAAAAAGTTACTGATCTTGTATAGAATAAAATAAAGATGCCATATTGTTTTTATTTATTTAATTTTAATGTATTCAAATTCTGTATATATTTCTATGAATCGATTGATGATTAGGCCTTTGGCCCAGAAAAGTCAACGTAATTAAGTACTTTGAGCCAGAAAAGGAATTGTAATCGTAATTATAAAGTATAAGGCTTTGGCTAGAAAAAGCATTAGTGTAGTTAATAGGAATAGTTAACATAGATCCTTTTAATTTAAAAGTTAGTATCGAAACAGAAAGATCAGTAGATAACGATAACAATAAAAAGCAAAATCTTCGCAAAAACAATAAAGCGTACGTAATAATTTCCTGTGCCGATATCGTATAGGTCGGGTAGATGGTGATCGGGAGAATTTTTTCAGGAAGATATGACCTGACCAAAAGAAAAATCAAAACTAAACGAAAAGAAAGATTAAAAACCAGATGGACGAAACCAGATAATAAAAAATTTGATTTTATTCAGCTATATGTATGTATATTCTACATAATGCAATTCAGATATATAATATACGTAACAAACTGCTTGAATTCTCCGGAAATCTTTGGACGCTAAATTAAAATTTACGGGGAGGGATAATTTATTTACAACTAAAAGAGAAAGAGTAATATATTATCAATAGCTTGGATCAAGAACGCGTTTTATTTTATATACTTTAAATACAAATGTAAAATATTGGCGATAGAGTAAATAATAAAATTTAATGATAAAACACATAATTTAGGTTTTTAAGAAAAAACAGTTAACATTTTTACCATCAACAATATGAAAATATAAAGTAAGTATAATTTGAAATTTCATCAATAAGCTAATTGAATTCGATACCTTCACATCTATACATAAATTATCTAGATTAAACATAACGATAACGATAAAATCGGATTAACACAAATATTTGTTTACCTGTCATTTTCGTTCTTCCATTTTTTTACGCTCTTCGCATCTTTTACATTTTTCATCATTGAGATGAACAAAAAAACACACATCACATATTGTTTGATGTTTTCTACAAACTCCGGATTTTGGCGTTTTATGACATCTTGGACAATGATGATTTGAACCCACTTTTGGCATGGATTCTGATTTTTTAAAATTTCAACAAGAATGAAATTTGGTTTTCTTAATTTATATTTTTACAATAAGACTTCAAGTCAAAACGGTTGAAGAAATGTTTATTCTTATTGAAATTAACAAAATTTCGAATTGTTCAATTTGAATTGTAATGACATGAAACATGAAAGCCAAATTCTTTTATTGAGACTTTTTATATAATGGAAGAAAAATAAAGTTATTGTACAACTTTGGATAAAAGGAAAACAAGTTATTGTACAAAGAAATAAGGCTATTGTGCAACTTTTACTTGAATGGATAAAATGGAAATAAGGTTATTGTGCAATTCATGCAGAAGCGTCCCAAAAAATTCTGATCCAGATATCATTTTTAATCCATGTTCTGATTTAGGTAAATCTCATCGCTGATTTGACAGCCCACGGAAAAATTCTGCTTTAATTAAAGTTTAATTATAAAGTTAGCATTTGGATCAAGGTTATATGTACTGTCTCGTGGTCAAGAAAGCTTTATATATATTTTTCAAATTTTTTCATTTTCTTATATCAGAATTGTTTTGCATAATAACAAAGTAAAGGCCAAAAAAAAGGTTAGCCCTTTTAACACCACAATCAATTTTCCTTTTCAGGCTTATCTTTGTCAAGTTTCTTTTACTCACAAAAACCAGTTTTTTCTTTTCCCACAAAACTCCTAAAAATCCTGTTTAACAATCAAGAAATTTCCAGCAAAAAACTCTCATGCTATTCTCACGCCCCAGAAAAAACACCAATTAAATAACTACCGCAACTAAATTATTCCCATTTTCTTATCTAAAATAACTAAATCTCCGTTCTAAATTTCGGATAAGTTAATTAGTAAGCAAAATCTTTCCAAAAAGTTCTAAACCTTTCTCTGCCAAGCAATCAGATTTTGCAAATTATATGAGTTTGATCTGTCTTTGACCTGACAACAAATCATCCGATATCCTCTTTATTTTCTTAACATTTTGGTTAGAATTATGATTGTCTGGTTAATGATTAAAAGACAGTTTCATAGCGATAGGTTAAGCTATTTGGATGCTTACTGTCGGATTGGAAACAGATTTGAATCACATAATCTGCACCTTTTCTTATGGATAGTACGTACAACACGCTTTGGATCCCCATTTTAAAATGGAGATGGTAGTACATGTATTAATGAATTCTTGTTATGGCAAGCAAAATTGGTGCTTTTTTCCCTTATCATTGATAACTATTTACTGATCATTTCTAAATTCAAATTAATCACTATCGCTAACGATAAATGCGCTGATTGAGTTGATAGATAAATGCGGAAAAAATCACTATCAATTTTTTTAAAAAAATTTTCTCGTTGACTTTTGAACATAGAAACATGTCAGACAGTTCTTGTGAGAATACAGGGAGTGATTCCGAAAATTCTGTCGAATTAGATATTAATTTAGAAGCTTTGCAAGAATCTGCGAACAATGTGTTTCACACACAATGTAATTCTATACAAAAGCTCAGCGAAGGTGGCTTTCACAAAGTATACATCTTAAAGATGGAGGATGGCACAGAATATATTGGAAGAGTAGCATTCCCTGAATATCCTCATTGGAAAACTGAGAGTGAGGTTGCAGTTATGGAATATGTTCGCTTAAATACGAACATCCCTGTTCCCAAAGTCTATCATTGGAATAGCTCTATCAATAATCCAGTAGGCGCAGAATATATCTTAATGGAGCGTTTGCCTGGTGGTCGTCTATGTGATATATGGAGCGACCTCAGCATAGAAAAGAAAAAGTTGGTTCTTTTAAAGGTCATTGAAATCCAATTGGCTCTTAAAAAGCTTATGTTCCCAATGATTGGCAGTGTTTTTTTTGATGACAATTCAAATGATCAATTTAAAATTGACCAGATAATCGAAATTGCTTTCTTTGCTAATGAGCGGGCAACTCTAACGACCATGGAACGAGGTCCTTTCAACACGATAAAGGAATATATTTTAGCTGTTATTCAAAACCAGATCCTTTACTACCGTACCTTTAAATCTTTAGAACAACAAAATCGTTGGATTCCAAAATACGAGGAATTATGCAAGTTAGTGCCGAAATATTTTTCGGACGAAAGGGATACATTTGTGTTAACTCATGGAGACTTTCACTCATCAAACATTTTAGTAAATGATATCGAAATCACAGGCGTTATCGATTGGGAGTGTTCTGGTGCGTTTCCGATGGAGTGTTTATGTACTTACCCAGTATGGATTACGGACAATCCTATGGTAGAAATAACGAAAGAGGAGTCCGCGGAAAATCTAACACTGCAAGAATTTTTTCGGAATGAAATGTTGCGCCGTGACCCAGATTTTATCCGTATACTTGATAGTATGAATGAAGAAAAAAAAGAATTTTATTCTGCAGTGTTTAGTCAAGATGAAGTATGGAAAGTCGAAGATTTTCTTGAAAGTTTAAAAAAATAATTGTTTTTGAATACTAAAAATCTATTATGATAATTTTAATATATAAAGTAAATAATAAAACTATTATTTAATTTTTTAGATTATGAAAAATCATAGTTTATAGGTATTTTAACCTGTTTAGAACTTAATATAAAGTTTATACAAATGATCAAGTTAATAAATATTTAAATTTCCTCTATATATGTACAAATTTTAATAATTAATGACTGGAATATTCTTATAATTGAGAATATTTGAAGTTAATAATCAAAAATACTCAATATTTTATTCTTTTTCTAAATATATTATTGATTTAAGTATTATTTATTATTATTTCAAAGAATAAATTTCAAAACTTTAATTATTAAATAATATCTATTAATAAATTTTTAAATTAAAATAATATGATAATTATTATTATTGATATTATTTTAATTTACTTTGAAATCATAAATAATACAATAAAAATACTTGGAATTTAATTAAAAAATTATTTAAATATTATAAAATTTCAAAATTTATATAAGAAAAAAAGATTATATAATTTTGAATTATTAATTATAAATTATAATAATAATTTGAATAGTATTAAAAAAAATAATAATTAATTTAAAAATAATATTTTTAAAAAATAAATTAAATAAAATTTATAAAAACAAAAACTAATTTTTAAATAATTAAAATTATTTTGTTATTATAATATATTAAATAAAATATTAAGATATTTTAATAATATCAATTTTAAATATTTATAATTAAAAAGTTATAATTATAAAAAGATCTTTATAATAGTATTTTATTATAATATAATATTTAAATATCTTATAAATTTTATTTTTTTATTCATATTATATATCTAAATATTTAAAATTATTTTATTATTATAATATATTAAATAAAATATTAAGATATTTTAATAATATCAATTTTAAATATTTATAATTAGAAAGTTATTAATATAAAAAGATCTTTATAATAATATTTTATTATAATATAATATTTAAATATCTTATAAATTTTATTTTTTTATTTATATTATATATCTAAATATTATAAAAAAAATAATATTATAAAAGACTATTTATAAATTTATAACAAAATTAGATTAGTTAATAATAATTATATTATATTTATTTTTTATTTCACAGATTATTGCTATGTCACATACTGTAACACATGTGACTTACTACATCACAATCATCTGATCATGCCAAGAAAAGTCATCTGATTTATTTAAGTTATTTTAGCTATAGATAATTTCTTAGTAGAATTTCTCTTTTTTCTTGTTCTACTAATTTAGTTAACATATTACTAAATTTATATATTTTATTTATAATCATTTATTTTTTTATTTATTTATTTATTAATAAGCATCTTCTGGAGGTACTACCATATAAGTATTATCTATTATTAATTTATTTATCTTATTATTAATTTTATGTAATATTAATTTATTATTTAAAGATACTATATCTGTTCTGTATTTTTAAGCAAGAAGTATCACTAATAAAAAATAAGTTTTAAATATAATCTCTTATCTGCTTTGATTTAGTCTTCTATGTAAATTCTATTTCAAATAATATCACTTATATCTTGAATCTTCTGTGTAAATTTTTCTGATATAATATTATATTCTAACTTTTCTGTATAAATTATCTGGATATATTATATTACATAACTAGAAGATTATAATTTTGGTAGCAGTGAAAAAGAATAATACTACACACACACATATATACACACATACTTAATAATAACTTCTTTCTTTCTATATACTTTCTCATTTATATACAATATATATATTCATGTACACATATACATATATATATAATGTTTGGTCCTGGTCTCTCAAGTAAATAATTTCAAATACTTCTTGTTAGTCTCATTAATCTCATCTAACAATAGCAATAACTTACTACTATCCTTAGTAATAATTATAATATTGATTATGATGATTAACCAAAATATAATCCTCTTGCATCAAGAATATCTCTCAAGATTTCAACATACAAAGGAAAATCACATGAGAATATTAATATTTGAATTTTATAAGTAACTGATGTATTACGTATCCAAGAAATTATAAATAAACAAATATGAATCCTATATACTAGAACTGGTCTTGAAGATGCTACTTTTCATTGATACTTGAATAAATAAAGTACATATTATTAGAGAAAACTCTGTCTTTGAAAACTGAAAAACATTCCTCATTAAAGTCTGTAAAGTATTCCAACCATCCAACTATCAATAACATCTTTATTATTAATTTCATTAACTTTGTTAAACTAGTACTATATAGGAGTATGATGCTAAATTCAGAAATATCATAGGATAAATTAAAGAAATAGAAGAACTAGATCAAGTCACATATTTTATTGATGATCTTAAACTTGCAACAAAAATGGAAGTAGTCTATCAAGCACTGGAAACTTTTAATGATACTTAAAAACTTGCAATTCACTATAACACAGTTATATTTGATATTAATTATCCTCTCAAAAATGGTAATTATAATTATAATCAAAAATACAAGAGAAATCTGAGCTTTTCTTTTAATAACATGCACAATAATATTGATTTCACATCCATAGAACTAGATCATACTAAAGGTTCTTATTAATATAGTAATAATAATAGTAATAATAATAATAATTATGATAGAAATAATAACAGTCATAATTATTATAATTGTAACAAACTGAATTATTTTACCAAGAATTGCTGTTCTAAAGAAAAAGTCAAAGTTAATAATATTAAGGATAACAATAATACTATAACTACTACATAATATAACAATAATATTGAATTTGCTTATCTTGAGGATAATTGTGAGAAACTTTTGAAATTTAATAGCTATGTTAATAAAAAATCTGCCTGGATTTTGCTTAATAATGAAGTATCACAAAATTTTATTGATAAAGTATATGTTAGTAATAATCAATTACAAATATATAACATGAATCCTATCACTGTAGAACTTGCTGATAGTTATAAAAAAGAAGTTAACTCATCTGTAACAATCAAGAAACTAAAGTTAGATATATATCATACCTCTAACATCAATACTCAAGTTCTTAATATTTAACACTATAATCTTATACTTGATAAACTATGGCTTTATCATACCAATCCCACTATTGACTGGCATAATAATTTCATAACATTTTACTATAATAACAAAGTAATCAAGATCAATGTTAGTAAAGATAAACTTGTATCTAGTAGCAACTTACTTTATATATTCCAACAATAATTTACTGAAATTCCACCTGATACTGAATTATTTGCAATTTATGCCACTATAAAAGAAATACATCAAGAAGTAACAACTTCTTATGAAGCTACTCAATTAGTTAAAGAATTTGCTAATATATTTTCTATTTCACTTCCTAATAAATTATCACCAAAACATGCTATAAATCATGTTATTGATTTAATACCTAACTCTGAATTATCATCTCACCCTATATATCACTTATCTTATTTTGAAATAGATGAATTAAAGAAATAATTATCTGATTTACTTAATAAAGATTTTATTCATGCTAGTTTTTTATTATTTGGAGCATCTGTCTTATTTGTATATAAAAAGAAAAAAACTCTTTGTCTCTGTATTGATTATAATATCTTGAACAAAATTATAATTAAGAATTGATATCCTTTACTTCATGTTAATAAATTAATAGATTGTTTAGCTGAAGTACAATATTTCTCTAAATTGGATCTTTACTTTGAATATTATTAAATTAGAATTAAAGAAAAAGATATTTATAAAACAGTATTCAGAACAAGTTATGAATACTATAAATTTCTTGTACTTCTCTTTAATCTTACTAACATATTTATAACTTTTATGAATCTTATAAATAATATTTTCCATGACTATTTGGATAATATTACAAACTATATTCTGGAAGATAGGTTTTATCATAAATATAGTTTATAATAAGTTTTGAGAGTGAAGACTGAATTATTTATAAAGATAAAGGGGATTATTATTATTCTAAAGATTTTCTAGTACTAATACTTATGAGTATTATATTAATATAAGACAAAAAAAATGAAATAAAATGAAATTATAAAATGAAGTTGTGATCATAAATACTAAACTAAGAGGTGGTATCAAAAACTAAGCAACAAATGCTTAAAACTAATAACAAATACTAAAATAATTGTAACTAATATAAACAAAACTAAGACAACTAATGTCAAACCAAAATAAAGACAACAAATGCCAAACAAAGCTTTTGCATATAGGGAATCTTACCAAACCTTTTCTAAATAGAGGTAACAAATACCAAATCCAAGCTTTTGCATGTAGGAAAGCTATCAAGAACCTTTTCAATTAAAATATAATCTATTATGATAGAAGAGG